CCCCCCCCCCACACTCCTTCTACCTCCTTCCCTCCCTCCGTCCCTCCCTCCCTCTCTCTCCCTCTCTCTTTCTCTCTCCTTCTCACTCCCACTGCCGTGAGCGGGGAGGGCCTGCCGCCCTGCTGCCGCCGCGGCATGGCGCTGCGTGGAGGCCAATGACCGACCTCTGCGCTGCGCCGCGCCCGCCGCGCGCCGCCGCCGCCCCTCCCCACCTCACCTCCGCGCCCTGCCCTGGCTCTGCCGCGCCGCGTCGGCTGCCTGCGCGCTTGCAAGCTGCAGCACATACGTAACGTCCCGTGATGCGTCGCGAAGTTTTGAGCCATGTGGTCAAGGTGGTGGCGAGGCGTTCTGTTTCTACACTGTGAAAAAGTGCACTGTATTTTTTACAACTTAAGCTGGATTTCAGGTATGCTGTGGAAAATACCCTCGTAAATTTACAGCATTTGTTGTTATTTTTTTAACTAAATATGTTGCAAATTTGCGGCAGCCCATTATTGCTTGTCGATCAATTCCAAGTCAATACGAGAGTGCTTGTAAATTTACAATTTCAACTTGTAATCACTCTCGTCAGAGTTACAGGAAAGTTTTCCATGATGTTTGTTGTAAAATTACCCTTTTAAATTGTAAAATTACAAGCACTCTGTACCGACTTGGAATCCGAGAAAGAATGGGTAATCGCAAATTTACGACATATTTTGTAAATCGAAAATACAAAATGTATTGTAAATTTACGAAAATACTTTTGACAGTAAATTTGCGACACACATCCTAGAAACCACTTTCGTGAACCTACGACTATTTTTCACAGTGTATTTTATGTGAAGTTCCTTGTTAGCTCATCAGTACGATGTGCCCATTTTGGACAAATTGTAATTTTACTGGAATTGTTACTGTGGCTGATGTGTTACTATCCAGTCAACTATTTAGTTGAAGAGGAGTGTTTTCCGGTCAATTGAACACTTGGTTTTTCAGTGTATGCGTAACAAATGCGTAACATTTAAGATAAGTTTTTTGGGGGTCTTTGGTTTGTGTTATTGTTTGACTCGCTTGTCATGCACGTCTCTGCACCGCTGTGACTCATGCCAAACCACCACCACCGCAACCACCACCGCCACTTCTGGGAAGGGCAGTCAGTCTTGCGGCTTTGCTCCGCTCTGCTTTGCTTGTGTGCGACCATAAACTGGCCCTGGGCACGGGGCCACCCTATGGGTGCACTCTATGGGGCCACCGTCACCGTATGGGACCACCCTTTTGGGGCCATGGGGCCACCCTTCCTTTAGAGTCACCTTATGGGGCCGGGGCCATACACGCTAAAAAATAAAATTACCATAGACAATATTGGGAAGTGGAAAATCAAAAGTCAGTCCTGAGATCCTGACTCATTGTCGAGGCTTGTGTAGCAACCCTGCAGGGATTTAAAAATTCGCAGTATTAATTTCTTTGAACTTTCTTTGAACGCGTCCGGTGCACGACTTGGAAGGCCTCTCGGGAGTCTATAGCTGACCTTGAATGCTTATGTTGTTAACATGTCATTTCCAACAGTTTAGGCGGCCCCGGGCCCCTGCACCAGCGGCAGCCAGCGCGGTGGCTGGGCACTGCCGGAGGGGTCTCTGGAGGCTCCAGGCTGGAAGGGATTTACGAGCAGCAGCCGAAAGCACTGATACTGCCTTCGCTCGTAATTTTTTGTGGCGTTTTTTACTTGTCTTATTTTTATTTTATTTTTGCTGGACTAGCAGTAGCAGTACCGGCCGAGCCGAGAGCGTGCCTAACCGAGCAGCAGCCTCGGCAGCAGCCGCTACTGCAGGTGGTGCGGTGTGCGTACGCGTCCGCGTGTTGCACACCAGAGGCGCAGAGGCGTCCTACTTTAAATGTGCAAGAACTAAACCGAGATAAACATGCTCACATGTACCCTATAGACGTACGCGCGCGTGCACACACGATTAACACCCAACTTGGCAACTTCGTCCTCCTGGTGTTGCTGCCCATTTTTGCCCCCCCCCCCTTCTCTCTCTCTCTCGATCCATGACCTACCCATTCTCTGAAGCGAATCAAGGTCGCACCAAGGGGAGGAGAGCCATTGGCCCATGGGTTTGTCGAGGGTGAGAGGGTGGACGACGCCCGGGTGAGGGGGGAGGGGGGGGGGGCACCGGCACCCCCTCGATGGTTCGTTTGATAAGTCCCTATAGAGGTCCGCCAATCCCGGCCTCCGCGGACAAGAAATAACGGACGTGGAGAGGTAAAATCACTCGAAATCTATACCGCAAGCTACTCGGCAGGCTCAGAAAAAGCGCGTTGCCGTGTGCTCGTGTGCGTGTTTGTGCGCGTTTCGTGCATGCATCCGTGCACGCGCGTGTTTGTGCGTTTGTGTAACCTAGAGAGCAGTGCTGCGTGTTGGTCTGTACCAGCGTGCTCGCCGAGCTAGTAGTAGAACTAGTACTATAGAAGGTAGAGGTGAGGAGGGGGCGCACGACTGCCTCCTTATTTTTAGCCCTACCGAGCGCGGCGCAGCGCGACAGCAGCGAGCGCAGCCCCCGGTGCATTGTGCGGCATGAACTGCAGCATTCAGTGCATCATGCGGTGCATCATGCAGTGCAGCATGTAGTATGCAGCATGCAGTACAGCATGCGATGCACCATGAGGTGCATCATGCAGTGCAGCATGCGCAGCATGGAGTGCAGCACGGAGTACAGCATGCAGTGCATCATGTGATGCAGCATGCAGCATGCGGTGCAGTCCGCAGTGCAGTTCCTTTTGTTAAATCAACCCGAATCGATCTTCTATAGGGGCGCGTTTTCCGTTAGATTCGTTCAAAGTACGTCCGTCTTTGCAATCCCTTGCCACCTTTCTCTGCCTGTTGTTGTCGCGAGAGAGAGAGGGGGCTATTCCCACTTCAGTATCCAGTCTGCTATGTCTCTATGAGAGAGGGAGAGTATGGGGCTTAAAAACTAGTACTCTCTAATGTTAATTAAAATTCCCCTCGATTGTTCTAATTGTTGTTTGGTGTTGGTGTTGCAGGTGACTGAGGCGCTCATGGCAGGCTGCATGGGGTTCCCGCCCCCTGGGCCCGCCCCCGGCGCCACCGCCCTCGCCGCCCCCGCCGGTCCTCGCGCGGACCCTCCGACCAGATGATACCGTGTCCGCTACCCTGGTAAGTAAGTGCTCACACTATTTACAATATTACACTTTTACACTGCTAAATGCTTGCAACTTCTTTTTATATTGGGGTAAATCTCTTTGCAAGCTTATAAAGCCTTTGTACGTATTACAAGTAAATTTAGTTTTCAAGCTTGCGAAGGATTCAGTAAAAAGAGCGACTGAATCTATTTTGGATCCGAAATAAAGCATGTACCTAATTCGGATCAAATGAACCAATTATTGTGAAATCAATCAGGAATACACTTCAGTAGTTTAATAAATTAGTTTTAAACGGCATATCTTGGACCAGCTGGAATGCCGATTGATAGAGATCGATGTAATGTTTGGGTAGTTATGACTAACTCGACATAAAATGCAGTAAAAGTAGCAATTATGGCTCTGGACTGCCCTTTGTGACCAACTTTTGGTTCCTAACACGATGTAACTCTATACATAGTGGTTCCCAAAGAAAGCCGTTTGAATTATTTAAAAAGTAACAGTGCACGGTAAAAATTGTTTCTTATTTCAAGACCTGGTCTTGGATGCCATTGGCTCCAAGACCGGGTCTTGAAATACAAAAAACTATTTTTACCGTGTGGAAGGCAAAAACACTTTGGACCATAGCTTTCTGCCTCCTCTTGAGCGATGAATGGTGGTGAACTTGTCCGCGCGGACTGCTCAGCAAGGCGATGATCGACGGATGATCGGCGATGGTCGCGATGGTATTTTCTGTCAGAAAGTTTAGATCTATTTTATCCGGAATCCGCATTAGGGGTTAATCCGGAATAGGTCCAGTTCCTCTAATGTAATGAAATTCTTCGCCAATTAAATAATTAAATATTTATATTATAAACCTATTTTTCGAAAGACTCTTTCAGCGTGAAACCGACCGGTTTTGTTCTACATTCTTCTTTATCTTTTTGTTTATTCAAATACTTTTCCCCTACATGTTAGTTTTCTCTGCGTGATTTTTTTAGCTTGCGATGAGTGGGGTGAGCCCGTGGAGCGGGGCTCGCCCCCCAAAGACTTCACCGGAGCAGGCATCCTCGTCCCCCGCTCCCGACGCCAGAGTGCCTCTGGACACTGGGCAGGGGGGGCCCGGGGGCGCGCTGCCCCTCGTCGCCTCGGGTCCCGTGACGGTCACCACGATACCAGGGCCCGGCCCTGCGATCGACTCCAACGGTCAGTGAACAGCAACCCTTTAACCGATATCACCTTCGGGGAAAATTAAGGGGTCGTATACAATTTCATATTTCATACTATTTCATATTATTAATACTCGCCCGTTTTTGTCCTGCAGGCAAGAATATAAAATATTACTCCCCAGCGTGCAATGGCAGTATAGTTTCCGAGCAGGGGAAGTGTAGTGTGCTCGTGGGGAGCGCTGAGAGAATGGTGGAGGATGATGATGACGTCACTGGGTCCGATGTTGAAGTCAGTAAAATTCACTTCAGTGGTGTGAACATGCGCCTCAAAAAGAAACATGACTTGATGTCAAATGAAGATTCCCAAGACGGTCTTGTAAAGGACGAGCCTGTTCGGCCTATGTCTTGGGAGGGTGAATTATCTGACGCGGAGATGCAAGAGGATACATCTATGGAAGGAGTGCAGGTCTCAGTTGTGCACAATGCCGACTCGATGTCTGACGACAAACCTCTTCCTCTGAAGTTTGGGCAGAATGTGGTAGGTGACATCTGTACACTGTGTGTCGAGCTTATCAATTATCTCAGAGATTTTGTTTTCTGAAGCGTTATTTATATGTTCGTAGGTGGACTATGTAAAAAGACACAATAACAGTAGCTCTCATAGTACTGGGCGTCCACAGACCTCCCTGTTAAATTCAGGTGCAACTGAGCTACCTCTTTTGGTTGGCAAGTTATTAGGTATGAATTATACTTCTTACCGACCAACACATTATATAATGATAATAAAGTGTCATTGTTAAATTGTGTTTCGTGTTTTTCCAGGTGGTGGAAGTTGTTATAGTCCTGTCCTACCTCATCGGCCACTGGGTGTGGCAGCAAAGCAAGTTCCGCCAAATCCAAGTCCGGATTCAGCAATACATTCGGCGTATTCCTACTCATCCCCCACCCAATCTCCAGTCACGTCGCGACATAGTTCGAGTCATGGTCTACCATCATCTGGCATATCCTCCCCCTACACTCCATCTCTTTCGAGAAATAATTCTGATGCCTCGCAGTATGGGGGCAGTCAACATAGCAGTTGTTATAGTCAAAGGTTTGTTTGGAGAAAATTTTACAAATTAAAGATTAAGTTTATTTGCTTATTCATTCATTCATCTAGATTGATGTTGTTAAGTACTTTGTACTTATAAAACTAAAATCACTGTTCCTTGAATTGCTTGCAGCTATTCATCAGTATCAGTTTCTCCAACCCAGTTCTCCCCAACTCACTCACCTATTCAAGGAAGACATATGCATGCTGTTGGATTTCCTTCTCCTGTTTTAAACAGAGGCAGTGCTAATGACTTCAATGGCAATGGTTCTCCACTGCAGGGTGTATCGGGTTGGTAGTTCTTTTTACTCACATTCCGTCTCTTCGAAAGAGGACCTTCCCAATTTCTATAATTTCACTAAGCATTTAATTTTAATTTCCAGATGATCGAGATGGCTCTCTGCTTGATGAAAAAATGTCTGCCTTGGCTGCAGATCTTGTTCATCATTCTGGATTAAATGCACCTGGGATTTCAAGACAACAACTGATCAACAGGTTTGTTGGTGCACTTTGAATTTTTTATTCCTGACTTTTTGCTGTTTTAATCTAACGACGATGTACTTTTCTTCCTAGTCCATGCCCAATTTGTGGGGATAAGATTTCTGGTTTCCACTATGGAATATTTTCATGTGAGAGCTGTAAGGGCTTCTTCAAAAGAACAGTGCAAAACCGTAAAAACTATGTCTGTTTACGGGGCTCTACGTGCCCGGTCACCATTGCAACTCGCAAAAAGTGCCCAGCATGCAGATTTGAGAAGTGTTTGCGCATGGGCATGAAGCTGGAGGCCATCCGGGAAGACCGCACGCGGGGAGGCCGCAGCACCTACCAGATCTCATACACCCTCCCAGCGGGACTTGTTCCTCCTGACGGCAGTAGTACGCCTCCCAGTGGAAGCGCAGGTGGCAACAGTTCCAACGGAGGAGGTAGCAGTGGTAGTAACGGCGCAGCTCATCCTAAGTATCAAGGATATGGCTCGTCGGGGGACCTCCAGGTCAAACTAGAAGTTCCTGATGGAGGACCAACCGTTGCCTCCTCGCCTCGAAGAGCGATTCCACAGTTATTAGAGGCAAGCTTCCTGATACACTTTTAACCAAGTATTCTTCATTTAGTTTGCATACTGAACACTTTCTCTTTACAATGATTTTTCTTTTCACTAATTCAGGAAATAATGGAAGTGGAGCGTTTCTGGCTCTGTAATGATCAAGAAATGCAACATAAAATGGGGAATGGACCTCAAAGCTCTCATCATCAAGGATATTCATCAACCCCAAAAAGGTAGCATTATTTTTCTCTGGTTGACATTTGCCCTTTGAAAACATATATACACAAACAACTGCATGTAATTGTTTTGTTTTTACAGTTCTAGCAGTTCAAATGCCCACCCTGCAGCAACAGCCACCAACAGCAGCAGCAGTAGCAGCAGCAGTAGTAGCAGCAGCAGTGTGGAGGCCAACAATCTATCAAATCTTACAGAGATTGCTGATGATAGATTATACAAGATAGTCAAGTGGTGCAAAAATTTACCTGTTTTTAAAAATATTTCTGTAAGTTCTCTAACTTTTTTATTTCATTTTTTATGTTGTAAATACTCGTATGGAAAATATTTTAATGATGCATAGGTAGTGCCTTTTGACATGTTTTTAATACCTATTTCTGGTGTGTGTTTTGGGATTTAGGTTGATGATCAGATTGCCCTACTTCTCAATGCGTGGTGTGAGCTACTACTGTTATCATGCTGTTTCCGCTCCATGAGCACTCCTGGTGAAATTCGAGTTGGCCACGGAAAGTCAATCAGCCTAGCACAAGCACAAGATTTAGGATTAAGACCTTGCATTGAGCGAATGTTAAATTTCACTGAACATCTTAGGCGTCTACGCGTTGATCAATATGAATATGTAGCTATGAAAGTCATTGTGCTTGTGACGTCTGGTAAGAACAATACTTTACTCTCTGACTGTTCTTGTTTAGAGTCTTGCATTGATGTGTATGTATTTCTTATTTCAAATGTAGATGTGAGTGATCTTCTTGAACCAGAAAAGGTACGAGCTTCTCAAGAAAAGGCCCTTCAAGCACTGCAGCAATACACTTCGGAACACTACCCTGACATTCCTTCCAAGTTTGGTGAACTTCTATTGCGTATTCCAGATTTACAACGTACATGTCAGGTGAGTTGCTGCAAATATGTTTTAGTTTCTCCTCATTCTCTGTCTGAATTATTAACCATCTGCTATATAAAATTCTGAGTTACCTTTGTATTTAGTTTTTGCTTTGTATTTCTTTTCTTGTGATGATCAATTTTACTCCAATAGTTATTATCTATCTTCTAAAATCAGTCAAAGAGTTTTCATTTCACAAACTACTCAAAAAAAAAAAAAAGGAAAAAAAAAAGGAAAGCTGAAGGTCTTATTTTGAAAAATTGCATAAAAGAATACTGTTAGTTGGAAGTGAAATTTTTAATCATGTTAACATGAAAATATGGTCATTAGACATTTTAGAACTGACAGTGAGAATCAAGCAGAGCTACCAAAAGTCATGTAAGTGTTTTAAGTTTCCAAATATTCTCTGCAGCAACGTTTGAGATGCGATAGAGCGATGTAATGTTGTCACAAGGTAGCTCTGTTTGATCCTTATTTTTGGAACATCAACTTCTAATGACCAGATTTTTGTTTTCAACCTGAATTATAATTTTCTCTAATGACGATTGTGTGAGTTTTCAAAATGGTCAGTGCAGCTTTTGCATAATGCAATCTATTCGCAAGTGTGTATTTCTGACAAAGCAGCTTCATGTAGTCTAGCTTGAAAATGCATATTACCAATTCAATATTTCTGATTTTACTATATGACAAGCTTCAAATCAAACCTGTATTTCTTTCTACCTAGATTAGGATAAATTCATATTTTTTTGTATAGTTTGCCAGCTTTGTATCTGAAAAAAAATATTATTGCTTTTGGTGGTTTGTACTTTTTATCTTCTTATATTCTTATTCAATTTAGTTTAGTTTTCTATAACTTCTATAGACATTCAGATTGGTGCAGTTGAAAGTATCTTTTCTGCAAGCTGTAGGCTTTATTTAGTGCTTTACTCTTTCAAAAGTCTTATCCTTTCTTTGTTTGCTTCTTTTGTCCCTCTCCCTTCTAAGCTGGCGGCTCCAAGGATGGTCAGTATCTGTAGTCTCTTGTTTTCTTGCATTGTTTTCAAGGTGTCATAGATAGTTTTGCATCAATATGTTTTACGTGGAAGCACTTAGCATGTTGTATGTGGCACACTTGTGAAATGAAACAAAAACAACAACAACAATACTGATGCTATGCATTTGCCTCTCTTTAACATATTAGATTTTCTCAATTTGATTTTGGGCCTTATTTTGAATTATCTATGGTGTTACTGGAGATTTCTGTATCTAATTCAGCCTCCTTACCCCCTGGCCTCTAAGAGCCTGAGAGTGTGGTGTTAATCTTGTGATATTCCTCTTGAACATTAAAAATGTTAAAATGATGTGTTGTTGAGCATGTTAATCTGTCTTTTCTTTTATGCCATTCTTTACCTTTCTTACCTGCAACCAATCTAACTTTCTATATGCCATTGTTTTTCTTTTAAATCAATGACTTTATGTTAATTTCTTGGAGACGTTTTAATCCCTAAATTGATGAACATTAGATTCTCATTTAGCTTTAGTTAAGACTTTGAAGTAATGTGCAAATATTACTTCCCTTCATTCTCCATCAGTGTAGATTTTTGTAACTTGTTGCAGGTTGGCAAAGAGATTCTGTCAATTATGAATGAGGAGCGTGAAGGACCAAGCTTCCACCTTCTCATGGAGCTGCTGGGAGGTGATCATTAAAATGATGCCGCCATTTATCTTGTTTCAGGTAGAACAAATATTTAGTTTCTCATTTCCCATTTTCTTGTTTAGTTGACTTCTAACTCATTTGCATTTCTCTTTGCTTTTTCAGTGCTTTCAGTGTGCCTTCCATTTGTACAGAACTAAACTCTGAACCAAGCAGCAGGGTATTGCCAGGTTCCTTCATTGTCAGTTGGTCTTGCCTCTAGCCTCCCCAGTGGGATCCTCATAGACCTATCATCTCACTGCCTTGATTCATTCATGAATCAACACAATTTCATGTATGTACTGTTCATTTCTCACTGGGTGTCAAAGTGCCATCTAGTTTGAACTTGCTGAATGTTTATGAGAAAAGTGTTTTGAGCAATTAAGCAGTTTTTGTTTACTTGCCAATACACTTAGGTATTGAATTGACTACTGTAATTTTGACTGGGACATATTTTCAGACTAAAATATTTTCAGATTTACATGTTTTGTAGTAAGTTTTAGGTCTATTTGTCCTTGAAGTTGATCTGTTCATACATTTTAGATTAACTAAAAGGGAGATACTGATAGCAAAATTTACATATTCACAAATGGATTTTAGTCAAATATGATTCATCCTGTCCATTACTTCAATTGTGATTTGCTGTTTGGCTTGCCGACCATAGTTTATGGGGAAATGAGATTTATTTGACTTACAATGTCATGAGTGTGCAAATGCATGTATTCATAAAGTCAAATCATATTGATCTCATGATGATAATCTGTTTCAATGAAAAATATTGACAACCCATTGGTAAAACGTTTCTGGCTTTATTCAGTCTTAAAAGTTTTTTAAGAATATTTAATTTACTTGCTCTCTTCTTCTCCATCAATTTGTGACATGTGCAACGTCATATCACAATGCCTTATCTTTTTGAAATCTTTATATAATTCTATTTATGTATTCAGTTTTTCATAACTGTTACAAGACTGGATTACTACATTTAGGAGATACAATTTTGTCTGTGAATCTTTGCCATTAATTGAATCAACTTTTCAAATTAATGCAAAGAAAGGGCTTCCCCAACATTTGGTGTCTGGTATCTGCTATCTCAACTTGTGCCTGTTTAATCTTTGCGGGCATTCTTCTTTTCGCCTTCCGCTGGTGAAATGTTATAATATCTATCATTTTATTTATTGATTTCTGTAGTTAAGTTACCATTTTCATGGTAGTAGCCATGGTTGTGCCACTGTTCATCGAAATATCAATGAGCAGGATCAAGCTGCCATTGTGAGCTTACAACCTTTGGCAGTCACTAGATTATGAGACAATGCTCTTTTCATGAAATATAAAGTCACAAAATGCTTGGCATCTGATACGCTTTAGTACAGTATCAACCGGTGGTTGATAAAGTTTCACAAGTTGAAACAAACCCTGAGATGTACCGATAGTTTTCAACTTTAAAAACAAAAATAGGAAAGAGCATTGCTTTGCTGCCATTCACTGGGTATTCCAGAAAAGCACAGAGGTAGCAGGGGCCTATCCACAAACATCACAATCAATCCCCTAAGCAGGGTTGAGTCATCTGACTCATTACTCCCAGTAAGATAATGATGTACTTACATTCAAGTAAACTTCTAAGAAATTGAGAAAAGACTTACACACTGCCGTGTGGTGCATCAGAATCCGTGTTATTATTTAGTATTTTGTTTTTTAAGAGTGTGAATTGTGTGCTTGAGAGTGTTTAAATTAGAAGTTTTGTAACAATCATTTTTCACTTTTTGTATATGAGTAACAGTTTAAGTGAACAAGATTTTGCAATGTGTTCGTACATTGTGTTTCAAATCAAAAACCTAAACTCTACAATGTTACATACCATATGTAATGCAGAATACTATAACTATCTGGCATGATGTAAAATGTTTCATAGAAGCAGCTTTAGTTTCTTTATGTGTTTAAGATAAGAAAAGGTAGTACCTATTAACTACCTTTACCTTATGCTTTTAAGTATTGAAATTTTTAAAGTTACATTTGTGTTTTTTGTCTATAAAATACTGCTTCACGTAAGCGAGATGCCTTTCTGGTAAGGAGCAGCTCTGAGAATTCAAACATATTTTCAGCGCTGTCAGTATTATTGTATATGATTTTATTTAATTCAGTGACTGAACTCGTCGAATCATCCCACCAACTGGTTAACAAAACAATTGTAATGAACCCTAAATAACTTACATGCAGCTCAAGAAATCATACCTCCGGGTCAATCATCAACCATACATATTTTATTGAAAAGCCTTTGTATCAAACAGTCAATTCCATTTGACCTAGGGTTCAAAGTCAATAGCATATTATTATCTTTAAAATTCTATTTATTTTTGCAGTGGTCTAAGCTTAGATGAACTGTGAGACAAATGTTTTTATTATTTCACTTTAGCTAATGGATTAAATCCTGTAATACAGGAGTGTTTTTTTTCTTTCTTTTTTTTTGATAGATGTGATTGGTTTCTTGTTATGTTTTAAATGGCTTTATTATTTTAACCGTTTTGAAGTTAATAATTAAAGAAAACTCAATATAAAACAATGTAAGAAATACTTGTTGAAAATTGTGAGTCTTGATTTCACGATCTAGACTGTGTATTAATGCTGTTGCTTAAGAATGTAAATGAATTCTTATTGGCTTACTGATTGCAGTGTAACTGCCACTGTGTTGATCTCTATGAGTTGTGCATAACCTATGTTATTCATCGGGCTTAAAAAGACTTAAGAGCTAATATTTGCAAGAAAAATGAAACAGATTTATTTTGGCCTTTCATTTTTCTAGATGTTTTTTGTATGCTACAATATGTAGAGATCGGAATCCAGTTCCTAGTCATTGGATGCCTTCTGCAGTTTTGTGTGCATTCCTGTTAGTTCCAAAATTTGATATTTATCATGAAACAATCAAATTTCAAACCTTAGACTCATAATTTTTATAGTTGATATTTGTTTAGAAAAATTAGTACGTACAGTTAAATATTTAAAAAATTGATTATGTGAGAGAATAAATGTGACAGTCCTGTTCCCACTTTCATCCAAGTCATCACAGTCCGACTATTTTTGGATAGATTTATTTATGACTATTGTGAGTGAATGTTTCAGCCCTCTTCGGGAGCTATCATAAATCTTACCTTTCAAGTAAGATTTCCACACACATCGATTCATGTACTGCTTTTATACAAACTTCCACTTGTATTTTCTTAACTGACTTTGTATCCTTCATTTTAAAATTCATAGTTGGTTTTTGTCACTTTTGACTGATGAGTGGGCGAAGAATTCGGTTGATTTCCAAAGGTGCCTTTTCTAGTTAAAAAAAGAGTCTGGAGCAACTATACTCTGTGAATACTTGCCCCATGAAAATGTTATTCTTAAATAAGTCCATTTGAATATTTGTGATAACTTATTGGATAACACACTCTTTGCTGTGGGTTTGGAAATATCTGAGAGTCTGAGAGGGTTGACGTACTGTTACATAAATTCATCAAAAAGTTTGTGTTACATAGCTGACTGCGTTTTTGGTGTATGTACTGTTCTGATGATACTATACTTAAAGAGTTTTGAGGAGCAGGTACAAGCTAGTATACTGTACTATCCTTTAACTGTTTTTATTATTGTACAAAAATGTTTTCAGTATGCAGTTCTGAGGAATGCAAATTTGTATCAGACAGATCACATCATAAGTGATTTACAAAATTGCAACTTTGATGTGCCGGGCCTGAATTTTAGAACAATTTTCCACCTCTCTTGACAAAGAATGCCATTTTTATTCTCTCAACAGCCAAGCACAAATTCATATATTTTTTACTGTACATTTCTTGAC